TTTATAGGTAAAGTTGAAGTGCATAGTTACATGTTTAGCATTAATAACAGTAGATTTTAATTGCATGGAATTATGCATTTTATGTCCCCACACTGAAAACACATTTCCACCTTTGACCTTTTCTTAGAACGGCACAGGAGACACCAACGACCTGTGGCAGGTGGAGGTGTGTGGAGGTCGGAAGGGCGACCTGGTGAAGGTGCTGCGCAGCAAGGTCCGCTTTCTTCACCGAGCTACTGGCTGTGTGCTTTTCTCTTCTGGAAAAACTCTTCCAAAGTGGTATACAAGTCTCCTCTGCTCTGACTTGTCCTCCATTTCGACTTTGTGTGTGGTCAGTCACAAGTTTGTTTTCTGTTCAGGGGCTGGGAACAGGTGGAGGTGACCTGTAGTCCCTACTTGAAGGAGACTCCGAGCTCGCAGTGGAACATTGAAGATCATATCAATCCCAAATGTAGGATAAACACATTCTTGTTCATGTCTTGTTTATATATCTTGTTTTTTAAGAACTAGCTGATCCAAAACACACGGCCAAGGCAACAAAGGATTGGCTCAAGAAGAAACATATTAAGGTCATGGAGTGGCCTAGTCAGTCTCCAGACCTTAATCCCATAGAAAATCTATGGAGGGAGCTGAAGATTCGAGTTGCCAAACTTCAGCCACGAAACATTAATGACTTGGAGAGGATCTGCAAAGAGGAGTGGGTCAAAAGCCCCCCTGAGATGTGTGCAAACCTTGTGGCCAACTACAAGAAATGTCTGACCTCTGTAATTGCCAACAAAGGTTTTGCCACCAAGTACTAAAGCACGTTTTGCAAAGGGATCAAATACTTATTTCATTCATGAAAATGCAAATTAATGTCTAACTTTTTTTGTAATGCATTTTTCTGGATTTTTTTGTTATTGTGTCTCTCACTGTTCACATGGACCTACCATTGACATTGTAGACTGATCATTTCTTTGTTAGTGAGCAAACTTACAAAATCAGCTGGGGTTCAAATAATTTTTTCCCTGACTGTATGTTGTTTCTCCCTGTTACTGTTCTGACAGTGTCCAACATTAGTTTGACTGTGCTGAAACCCAGTTTCCTGGAGATCTTACTGGAGTCCCACATTGTCATGATAAGGGTAAGAAACAGTCCATCTTAGCTTAACAAATGTGTTTTGTCATAAATCATTAATTGAAAAAAAAACACGTCTCTTTAGGGCAACAGTGGCTTGAAGCCCAAAGACAATGAGATGAACTCCAAACCTTGGCACTGGCCCATCAACTACCAGGTATGCTGAATGATGTGGTAAAACTAAATGAAATACATAACTGCTTTTAATTACAGATGTTCTTTTTGCTTAATTTCTGTGAAGGGACTGCGGTTTTCAGGAGTGAATGAGTCAGAGTATCGTGTTTATTTGCTGGGGAACCCTGTAAGTCTTGCACCCTTTTCATTTTCCTGTTACTCTTGTGTGAGGATGCACATTAACACACACATGATTAAATGCTGTTCCTCAGGTGGTCTGGTGGATGAACCTGGCCGGTTTGGGATTGTATCTTATCATGGTGGCAGTGGCTTCTATAGCACTCCAAAGAGGTTTCTCATTGGGCCACAGAAGAAGAGGTTTGTGTATGTGCTGAGTGATCAGTCATGGCTGCAACAGCACTACAAAGATTATTTAAAGGTTAAATACAGTGGAGCAAATAAGTATTTGATACACTGCCGATTTTTCAAGTTTTCCCAATTACAAAGAATGGACAGATCTGTAATTTTCATCATAGGTACTCCTCAATTGTGAGAGACAGAATATACAAAAACATTCCAGGAAATCACATTGTTAGATTTTTAAAAAATGTATTTCCATTTTATTGCATGAAATAAGTATTTGATACAATAGAAAAATAGAACTTAATATTTGGTACCGAAACCTTTTGTTTACAATTAAAGAGGTCAGACGTTTCCTGTAGTTCTTGAACAGGTTTGCACACACTGCAGCAGGGATTTTGGCCCACTCCTCCAAACAGGTCTTCTCCAGATCTTTCAGGTTTTGGAGCTGTCACTGGGCAACACGGAGTTTCAGCTCCCTCCATAGATTTTCTATTGGGTTCAGGTCTGGA